CCTGGGCTGAAGTGCTCTCCCTGGGCTGCAGTGCTCCCTGGGCTGCAGTGCTCTCTGGGCTGCAGTGCTCTCCCTGGGCTGCAGTGCTCTCTGGGCTGCAGTGCTCTCTGGGCTGCAGTGCTCCCTGGGCCTGTCTGTTCTTATGCAGCCTCTCCCTCCTCCCCCCCCCAGGGTGAAAACATCACCAATGCCCCAGAGCTGCAGCCCAACGCTGTCACTTGGGGCATCTTCCCTGGGCGAGAGGTTATCCAGCCCACGGTGGTAGATCCTGTCAGCTTCATGTTCTGGAAGGTAAGGGCCGGGAGCGGTCCTACCCTGCCCCCCTCCAGGCAGTATCGCTGGGCCCCGTGTGTGGCTGGAGGCCACATCCCCTAGGACGGGTGGACTAGGCTGCACCCTGACTCAAGTGTTTATTTCTGGGCTGGGGGGTGGGAGGTGGCACTGGCAGTGGGCCTTGTTCTATTCCTGGAAATGAACTGTTGGGCAGTGGCAGAGGTGCTCATGGTGCTGAGCATGACACCTGACCCAAGGACAGCCCTGTTAACCTTGCCTGTGTCTCTGTGTGCCTGTGTATCTGTGTCTGTGTCTCTGTGTGCATGCACCTGTGTGTCTGTGCCTGTGTATGTGCATCTGTGTGTGCATCTGTGTCTGTGTGCCTGTGTGTGCATGCACCTGTGTGTGTGTCTGTGCCTGTGTGTACGCATGCACATACAGGATGAAGCCTTCGCCCTGTGGATCAAGCAGTGGGGCAAGCTGTATGATGAGGAGTCCCCCTCCCGTGAGATCATCCAGTATATCCACGACAATTACTTCCTGGTCAACCTGGTGGACAATGATTTTCCACTGGACAGCTGCCTGTGGCAGGTGATAGAAGATACATTTGAGCTTCTCAGCCACCCACCTCGGAATGACAGAGAGACAGAGGCTACGTGACCCTGCACCCTGCCGTCCTTATCATAGGCCAGTTGTGTCCCGCCTTCCTCCTCTCCAGTCCTGGTTTTCCTGGAGGCCCCTATTCTCCTTTGTTTCTCCTGAGCCCTGGCCTCTACTCCCCCATATGATGATTCCAGCTAAACTGGTATGAGTCTTCTGGGCTCCGGCTGGACCGGAGCCAGCCCCACATGGGAGCCTGGTGTTCCCCGTTCAGCTGGGAGATTTTGCTCTTTTGTGGGGAGCACCTCCATCCTGCAGAGGACCTGAGAAGGGGAAGAAACTGGTTATTGCTGACTGAGGCAGCCACTAGGAGCCAGCCTGGAACTGCCAGTGGCCTTGCACTTGGGGCCTATGGAGGATGGGCAAAGTGAACATGGGCAGCAGGCACTGGTGGCACTGCAGAACAGCTGTGGCAAAGTGAAGGTGCTGCCCCCTTCCGCCTCCAAGACATTGGCAGCTGGGCATTTCCTACTTGTGACCGAAGGGGCAGACACTGTCCTGCCCTGGCACCAGGCCCCTGGATGGGTCTGGGGCTGAAACCTAATTAACAAACACTTCTTGCCACCATCCACTTCAGAGCTGAGCTGGGTTTTCACCTTTCTACAATGCTGCTTTTTCAAAGAGCTGTCTCTGAATTCTCATGGCTTAACAGAGTACCTCTTAAGAGTTCAAGGTGTCTGAACCCTTGTGATCGGTGAGGCCCTCAGCGTCCCTCCAGCCTTCTCTTTTTCTCCCTGGCCATGGAGGGATAGATGGCGCGTTACCGTCGGGGGCAAAGATGAGGTTGCTTAAGCAGGGCTTATTTCTTCCTGGCTTACTTTTTGGGTGAGATCTCCTCCTGCCAACTGCTCCCCCCTCTGTGTACCCTATCCCAGAATCTAGCTGCCTGGCACTGCTCCCCAGGGATCAGTCCTCAAGCCCCACTGCCAGGGTGGTGACTGGCAGGTGCACATAGGCTGTTCCCATCCCTGCTGGCTGGCTGGCTCAGCACAAGGAGGGTAGGGGTGGGCATCCAAAGACAGTCTGATGATAGCTGAGCTGGGTGCAGTCATCAGTACATGCTTGTCCCTTCCTTCCAGGCTGGCTGGCTGGGGCAGAGGGACAGCTTTTAGGAGAGATGGAGCAAGCAGCTAGGACTGAGGAGGGCATTTTATTGTCCTTCAGAGCTCCTGGAGCTGTTCCCTCCATCACTAGGCTGTGGGTGAGAGCCCTGTGGCTTGACAACCCCCGCACTCCCTGGACGGTGGGGCACAGTTCCTTCCCAAGGAAGGCTGGGCTCAGTTCCGTTTTTCTTTCCATGGGAAAAAGTCCCAGCTGCAGCTGGGCCCCCAGCTCTTCCTTGAGTCCATCCCACGCAGGGGCTCGGGCAGCTGCCAGCCTGCCTCCATGGCTCCTGGTGCCCACTTGGCGCAGGGGGTCTTGGACTGCCGGTGGCTCCCCTTCTCTGGACCCTAGCTGCCAGGCTCTGGTGCCACTTCTCAAAGGCCTGGAATCAGGGAGTGGAAAGGAGAGGTTATTCGGCTCCCTCCTGAGTCTGCTGTGTGTGTTAGGCTTAACACCTGTGCCCAGCTGCTTCTGTCCCTTGAAGGAATAGGAGGTGCCTCCCTCTGCACCAGGCAGCCAGCCAGCCAGCCAGCCCTGTCCCAGGCCAAATGCATGGGCTCAGAATAGAAGTAACTCGTGATCTGGGAAGCTATGCTCAGAGCAAATAAGGGAAGTAAGGGGGTGCTCAGGGACCCTTAACAGGAGCCAGTGTGAGCAGCTCAGTCTGAGTGACGGGTAGGACTGGACGGAGCACTTGGCTACCAGCCAAATCAAGGGCTCCAGCATTTAAGCTGTTTTCTCTGACCAAACTGACCCCTCCCTGAAAGTTAAGAGGCCCTGGGGGTGGCAAGCAGGGAGGGTCCACAGCTCAGAAATGCCCAGGTGTGGCACTGGTTTTGGAAGGGCCTACTGGGGGGTGAGGGCTGCCCCACCAGTACCTGAGAAAGGACCCAGCCACCTTGTTGCTGTAACCGCCGAGCCACCCTCAGCTGCACGACCCGCTGCCTCCACATTCGCCAGGTCCGTCTCAGGTGCCACTGCCTGTGCTGTGTGGACAGTTGGTGAGAAGGCCCCAAACTGGGCCCACTGCCGCCCAGGGCAGCTGCGCTCCCCAGCAGTCCCCACTCACCAGTGTGTGTGCCAGCTCCTCTGCCCCCTGAGCATCTACCCAGTGCTGCCACGTCGCTGCCAGGCGCCTGGCCTGCTGGGAACCCTGCAGCCGGCAAAACAGTGTCTCAAGGCGCCAGCGTTGTAGGTATTTCCTCCTGGGGGAAGAGGCCCTGTGTGCGTCCTGATGGCCAAGAGCATCATGACCCCCTCGTGGCCAGGTAAAGGCAGAGCCGTGGGCCTGGGCCTGCTCCTCAGGATCCTGCAGTAAGGAGCACTGGCCAGAGAGGCCCAGCTCTGGCCACAACTCAGGCAAGCCCCTCGGCCCTGGTCCCCCAACCCCACCCTCCACACAGCTGCTCTTACCCCAGCCACCTCTTATCCACCTGCCCTTTGCCCTTGATGGCACTGGTCTCAGATCTGCAGTCCCATCCCGGTCCTGTAGGGGGCCGGCCCTGGGCCCAGCTGGCACATCCAGGCCACTGCAGGCCGAGGGGGGGCACCCTGTCACCTGGAAAGGGGAATAGAATCAGAAAAGGTTAACACATTCATTCCGGAGGGCAGATTCTCCTTAGTCCACTCCTAGAAGTTGAGACAACAAAGAGGGGTGAAAAACAAACGGAGATGAGTTAAACATTGTGCCCCCAACTCCACCACACCTACCCAAGCCTCCAGGGGCTCTGGGCTGCTACCCACAGAGAAATAATGGGTGGGACAGGGGAATATGTAATTATTTTATCAAAATGGTTGACATAGTCCAGAAGAGGAAATGGGCAAATACAGATAAATACGTATGATGGATTTGCCAAGGAACCCGAAGGTGATTTCCAGGCCCTTGAGGGCTGGTGACTACACTACAGATGTTTGTTCCCACAGGTACATCTCCTTACTCTGAGCCCAGGACGTTTCTTTCCGCTTCCTCTGCCCACTGAGGCTGCGGTGCTGTGTTGGGCTGGGCAGCGTGGGGCCTGTGGCCTGTGGCCTGTAGCTGCGGGTCTGAGGGAACAGCCAAAGAGGAAAACCTGAACCCAGTGGGCTTGGCCTTCCTGGGGCCCAGGGGACCTGGTGGGGTTCCTTCCCTGCGCTGCCCCTGACCAACAGCGGGGCCTCCTACTTGTGTGTGCACACATGGGGCAGTTCACATGACCTCACGTTCTCCCATAAGCCCAGAGGAGACACGGGGTGCCCAAGAGTGTTATGGCCATTAGCACACAGCACTGCCTCTTCCCATGTGGCTGGAGGTCAAGCCGCGAGGTGGATCAATAATAGCTTCCACTGGATGAGAGCTTACCTATACCAGGTACTGCCTGTGAGGCAAGTATTAGTCTCCCACTTAAACTTGACAAAGTTAAAGCACTTGCCTGAGGCCCCACCTCTCAGGAGTGGTCTGACTCCAGAGCCCCAGACCCCAGCTACTGCTCTATGCAGATCAGGGGCTCTCAGGGACTCTGTGCCGCCATGAGATGGCACAACAGTTGCTCATGATGTTAGGTGGGGGTACCTGGGTATGTGCTCATGTGGTAGAAAAGAGGGGGCCTGGAATTAAGCACCCTAGTTTACCATTCCCAGCATTTACTTTCAGTGTTTCTACAAGCCTCAGTTTCTCCAACAGTAAGTGGGGTGGAATGGGTGTGCTTATGAACATACGCTGAACATTAAATTGTGTCATAACACAGACCGAGGAAAAAATACCCTGAGGCCCCAGCATCTGCTGTTGCCATGGTCCCACGTGTGTGAATACATGGATTCTACAAATAACCAAGCTAGTCCCTTTCCATTCCATTAAAAACAACACTTGAATCTTTTTTCTTAGAATATGTAGTCTATTAGATACTTCCTGGCGTTCTGAAACAGGATCCTTGATGATGCGAATTCATCTTTAGGAACACTGTGTGGCTTTGCCGGTAACCCTGGGACTGTGTGTCCAGTAATGACATGTCCCAGGGCTGCCATGTGGCATCAATTCTTGTGCATGACTTTCATTGTGACCTTCCCTCCTGCTAGGCCATCAAGCTCTTGTCACCATTTGCTAGTATCAGGACTAACTGCTTCTAGTCTGGAGAGGGACTGACAGTTACCTTTGAGTAGAAAGATGAAAATATTTTTTTCATTTATATTTTCTAATTTTTCTGTAATGCGCATGTTTCATTTTTCCAATAAGGAAAAAAAACTTGAGAAAAAAATTGCTCCTGTCCCCATGTACCTATCTTGATTCTAGACTGCAACCATGACATTTAGCGAGCTTAGGTGCCTGTTTCCCTAAGAGACTATCTTTGCAGTGGACCTGAGCAGGGCTGGCACTCGGTAGGTGCTCAGGAAATGTTTACTGATGGACCTGGAGTTGGCTGTCTTCCAGAGCCAGAAGGCTGTCCAAGAACCAAGGTGGGGTGATGCCCACAAGGCTGCTGGACCCCTAGAGAAGCATCCAGCCACGCTTGCCACCATGGGCTGTAACGAGGTGATTTTGAGGCCGCTGGCTCTTGGATCATTTTTGGACCTTCTGTCCCTCCTGGGCCCTACCTCACCTGCTTCCATGGGGCCGCAGCATCCATTCGCGCCAGGAGGTGTCCTCTGCTGGCCAGTCTGGGCAGGTGTCTGAGATGGGCGCTGGGTCTGGGATGGGCTGTGCTGGCCTCTTGGGCCTCCGCCCCAGGTTGCAGCCACACTCTGAGCAGTGCTGTCCGCCACTGGGCCCAGTAGGTTTGCAGGAGGCGCCTCGGCCCAGCCTGCTGGAACTGGGTGATGGTGACCTGCTGGGCACGGCCCTGGGCAGCTGACTGGGCCCACACCTCTAGGACCCTAGGGAGGGGGAAAGAGCCCATACCCAAGGCCATCAGGGCCTGGGCTCTACGGCAGTTGGAGGGAGACCTCAGCCCTGGCCAGTGCCCTGTAGGAGGTGACCTTCAGCCACAGCCCCTGGCCATGCTGTGCTACGCCTACCATACCCCCTTTGCTGGAGAAATCAGATCAAAACGGGCAAGGAGAACAACAGAATATCACACAACAGGGACAAGCGTCCTGTTTAGGGGACAGAGAAGCAGTCTTGCCAGCTACACGTTGCCTCCCCTTTCCTTGAAAGAGCACCTGCTGTGTCAGTGGCTGGCCCTGGCTGGCCCTGAGCTGAGCTGAAAGTCTGCATTCCTTATCTCTAGTCCCCAGGCCATCCTGCAAGGCAGGCCTGTTATCTTCCTCTGACCTTTAAGGTTAGACTTGCCCAAGAGGAGTCACAGAGCTAGAAAGTACAGAGATGGGATTTGACCCCAGGACTAGCTGCAGTGACCAGGGTCACCTCTCCCTATCACCCCTGGCCTCCTGAGCCCTGGCGCCAGCCACCAAATACCCTCTCTCCCTGCCAAAAGCAAGCTCAAGGCTCAAGCTGAAAAGCACAGTGTGGGGCTGCCCTTGGGCCAGGGACACCCACCTGGCGCTCAGCTTCCAGGCAGCGTGGGCTCGGCTGAGCCGGTGTAGGTGGGACTCACGCACCCACAGTGTCCAGCACAGGGCCACCTGGACCTGGGCCCGAACTCTTTCTTCTGCCAGTTGGCGAGCCTCACAGTGCTGGCCCAGGGCCACTCGCCAGGCTACAAAGGCCTGCTGGCCCCAGGCCCTCCTCCGCTGCCTGTCCACCCAGCGCCTCTGCACATGGCTTTGCCGGCGGGCAATGCAGGCCCAGGCCAGGCGCTGTTCCCGTGCCTGGGCTGCGGCCACTCGGCCTTCCCGCCGTGCAGTGAAGGTAGCCCCCGGTGCCCGTCTCCTCAGGCCATCCTGGAAGGCTGGATGCTGGGCCCAGAGCATCCCTGCATCTCTCACAGCTTCACCTTGGGCCTGGAAGTGGCTGCAAAACAGGAGCAGAGGAGGGGCCCAGCTGCTGTCATAGTCAAAAGTCACATTTATTCAAAATTACACCTGCAACCCACCCTCCCCCCACCACACACACACACACACACACACACACACACAGTCTCCTAGGTTACTACACACGGCTCTGCATACACAACACTGTGCCTTAGAAATGTAGGGACCGATGTGTAATGGCTTTCATCTGGGGCCTTGGCCCACACACACTCCAGCTGGGGGTTGGGAGGGGCAGATGCTGTCCAGGAGCACGTGGAAACCCAACAGCTGTGGGTTCAAGCCCCAGCTCCACTGGGGTGATAGCCACCCCAGCTTCCTCTCACAAGCCTGCTCTGCGTCAGGAGGCCAGTTCGGGGAACATGGCCCCTCTTCCCTGAGGGACCAAAAACATGTCTACGCCATTCTGATGCGAAATCACAGAAATCAGTCACTCTGTGGTTCACTGGCCTGGGGGGACACTGTGAACCTTTGCAGATTTGTAACTGCACGGTGGGAGGAAGCATCACCTGTGCCCTCTGCTTTTAAATGTGCATTAATTAACCATATGCATGTTTTACGAGAGCGTCTCTATTTAGGATTTAACTCTCTTCTCTTAGCCACTCACTGTATGCAGAATTCCCCATGCTGGCCCCTCAAACAATACACGGTGTTGGAACATGTGTTATAGCGGATGTCTGAGGAGTTGATTTCCCCATCTTAATTGTATCCTCTGAATCCAAAGGACTGAGCTGACCAGGTGGGGGAGACCTGGAGCTTGTCAGGGTATGAGGTGGGGTGAGGGAGGGGCTTGCCATCTCCCACCTCCCTCACAAAGCAGATAACGAACTGTTGCTGGTCACGGCTCTACAGCTCCAAGCTGGGGCCTCCCCTCATCGCCCTCTGGGCCCTCTCCCTGCTTTTCCCAGGGTGGGGATAACCCACCCCTTCCCACCCACCCGCCTGCCTACCCACCTCTGCAGTAGAAGCTGCTCTGATCGGGCCATCATGTGTCTCCGACGAGCTGCCGCCTGCTGCCAGCCCCAGAACGCGGCCCTTCGCAGGCCCTGGAGGTGGACCTGCACCCACCTCTGGTACTGCCCACGCAGGAATTGCTGCCCTGTGGCCAGAGAAATGCTGAAGTGCCACTGGGTGCTTGTCCCAGCCTTAGCCCTGGGTCCCGGGTGACCGTGGGTCCCTGCCCAGCCAGCCCTTTGCCCTCTACCCAAGTGGGAATAGAGGAGGCCGCCCTAACTGTCTGGGTTAAAATGTTTTGGTTATAGGTGTCATACTGGTGACCAGGCCAACACTAATCATAGTTTTTTTAGTTTTTTAAAATTTCCTGATGATGTTTAGGAATCCTGAGAATTTCGTAAAAATCTAGATCTCCAGCTTTTCTTTAAAAATTAGAAGGTCTGGCAACGCTGGGCCAGCGTTCCCGGGCAGCTGGGCAGCAACTGGGCTGGAGAAGCACCTGTCTGCTGTGGGTAGGACCTGAGCTTTCCACAACAACCACGTTCCCACCCCAGCCTGTCGATACGAGGTATCGGTGTAGTGGGAGCCTCTAAACTTCCCCAGTGATCCCTGCCTCCTGGGCCGGGCTCTGAGGGCGCCATGCCTCAGTGCTCAGACCTGTGACTCCTGAAAGCCAGGCCAGGATGACGAGGATGAAGATGAAGAAGACCCCTAGTGGGAGCTGGGTTCTGAGCCAGGCACACTGGTGGATTGCCTCACAGGGTCCTGCCATGCCCCCCACAAGGTGGTACTGCTGTTATCCCCATTTTATAGGTGAGGGAGCTGAGACTCTGGTTCAGTAGCTTGTTTAATGTCCACACTGCCAGGGAATGGAAGAGCGGGGATATGAACCTGGGGAACAGTGTCCATGCCCCCAGGTCCTGCTCTGCCACCTCAGTCCTGGGCGTGACCTGTGGGAGGCCCCATCACTGAGCTCTGTGCTAGAGGATGCAGAATCCTGCGTCTCCCTGACAGGCCCAGGCCCTCTCTCACCCCTGGTGCCCCGCCCGTCCCAGTCCCCGACTCACTCTGCCAACAGGAGTGCCAGTGGCGCAGGGCATCCCGCACCAGTCTCCGGCCTCGCTCCCTGGCCCACTGCTCTGCCTCCTGCCACAGCTCCCGCCGCCGCCGCCAGAGGCCCAGGGTGGCTCTGCAGCTCCGGTCCCAGGCCCAGCGGGCAGCCAGCTCTCTCAGGGACCCTTGGGCTGTTGCCCAGTGGCTCCAGCCGAGGAGGATGCTGGGAAAGGAAGTGTCCATCTGGAGGATGGTCACTGCCATTGGGGGCTAGACCAGCTCTCCCCTCCCTTAGCAGCAGGGATGGGGTTGGGGTGACTCTTCTCTCTGTTTCCATCATGGGGGAGAATCGGTGGCTGGGGCTGAAACGCTACTCCAAGGGTCACAAGAACAGGTGGTGGGGATAAGATGGGACCCCAGACCTCCAATGCTCGGTCCTGTGCTCAGCCTCTAGTAACATGCAGTGCAGTGAACTGAGTGCTTGCTATGTGCCAGGCACTGTGCTAGGGGATGTATGCACCCCTATCTTGTTGATTCCCATCGGAGTGAGTACTATTATTATCCCCGTACAAATGGAGAGATGGAGGCACAGAGAAGTTAAGCAACTTGCCCAAATCACACAGTCAGTGAGGGATAAAGCTGGGATTAGAACCCACGGAGACTAACTCTTAGGCACAGTGCTATGAATGAACCACAGCTGTGAAATCTCTGAGAGAAATGGTCACCCTGCTGACCTACCCCCCTCCACACACACACACATCTCAGCAGGTCAGGGTAGGAGGGCAGGAGGAGTTGAGGGGATCAGAGTCTGGGAGCCGACTGACTAGGGTGTGAGAAGGGAGCCCTCTGGGATACACACCCCAAGGGAATGCTCCTGTGAAGGTCAAGGATTGGCGGGAAAGGGGCCTCAGGGAAACAGTAAATCCACAGGGTAGTGGGTAGCAGGGCTCACTCGTCCTGGAGAGGGGTCCCTACCGCCTCTGAAGAGTGTGCCGGTGCCATTTTGCTGCACCCCGAGATTGCTGGGCCCTCGCCTGCCAGAGCAGAAGGCACTGCCTTTGCTGCCGCCGCCCAGCTGCCCACAGGAAGTTCAGCCAAAGGGTCTCCAGGAGGGCGGGGACCCCGGAAGCCTGGGGAGGGCATAGTGAGTCCTGAGCACCCAGCCCTGCCCCATCCCCTCCCTCTCCGCCCACCTGGCCCCGATCCACCCTGGCCCATCCCAGCCCCAGCCCCTCACCTTCCCTAGAGAGCTGTGGGGCACGCTGCAGCCCAGGGAGGCCTCCTCTCCCAGGGCGTGACCTAGCGGTTCTGGAGCCAAGGTGATCCTGGCGTTGCCTGATTGGTTGCCAGAACCCCACACCCTTAAGCGCCACGCCCTCAGGGTGCGTCTTAGCATCTGCCGCTGTGTGAACTGGAAACAGGAGCTACAGGAAGGAGCAAGTGAGTACCTGGGCCCTAGTCTCACCCCATCTGGGGTGGCTGCCAGCTGGGACCCTGGGAAAGGGCTGAGCTGGAAGGGTGCCGCCAAACGCCTGGCTACAGCTCTGCACCACCGCCTCCAAAGCCAGCTGCACACTGCATTATCGGGTCGCACCCCCAGAGCTTCTGACTCAATGGTCTGGCTGTGGCCTGGGCTTCCTGACTTTCCCAAAGCTCCCCGGGTGAAGATCACTGCTCCACCTGCGCTGATCGCCTGGCTGATCCTCCCCATGCTCCTGGGGTGGGTGGGGGCTAGCAGATGATAAGGGGTGGAGCCAGGCCCTGGGCCCAGGGACACCCCCTGACACACACACTCCACAGGCTACATGCATAACCACACCAGTACTTCTGCCTCCGCTCTGCTATCATGATAGGGAAACTGAGGCCTGGGTGAAGGCATTGCCCCAGACTCCAAACAGCAGCAGACCTGAGATCCAAACACTCATCTCAGGCCACCAGGCAGCCCAGTTGTGCCACAGGGCGATACCAACTTTGCCCTGATGCCCAAAAGCCAAAGGATGGACTGGGGGCAGGAGAGTTACATTAGGAAGGATCATGGCGAAATGGTTTTTCTCTGAAGTTCCAGGGGTGCATTAAAAGAGACTGAGGGTCCAAGCGGACCAAGTGGGTGTGAGGCTGACGGATGCCAGGTGCATGGCGTTCAAGGATAGACTCATCAGCTCGGGCTCTGAATCCTGCCTTCTTGCTCTTGATTCACAGTGTGATTTAGAGCAAGCTGCCTGACCCCTCTGAGCCTCCGTTTCTCTGGTTGTATAATGGGGGCAGGGGGATAAAGTGGCTCTTCACTTATTTATTTACAATATGTACTCCATGCCCATGACGGGCCAGAGGCACCTACAAGGTGCTGGGAGACAGTGGTGAGGAGACAGGCATGGTTCCTGCCACCAGCTGGGAGATGGGTGAGAGATGATTCCAGATTCTGGGGAGGGAGACAGAATTAAACCAACCTCCCCATCACGTTCCCACCACCTTGGTAGCACTCAATTTCGGTGCCCGCAACCACCCCATGGTCCACACAGCTCTCTGCTCAATCACTGTCTCAGTGTCCCTGCCACTTCCCCCAGCCCCACACCCACTGGGCAACATAGTGTGTCAGGCCCATGCTCGGGCCATGGGGAGGAACAGGATGTGGCCTGTTCCCTATGGGACACTCCCCCCAGGGCTGACTGAGCACTGCTCACCTGGCCACCCCGTGACCCCAGGTCACAAGTTTGTGGACACCTACTCTGCCTGCTGGTGCTGGGAGAGCCGCCTCCTCCAGAGCAGCAGCACCCGGTGGAGGGCCAATCTCCGGCAGGCTTTTTGCAGGGAGCCCTGGCCTTGCTCCTGGGGCAGCCCCTGGGGGCAGTGGCCTAGACCATGGACTATGGCCCCTCCACCGGCTGAGCTGTGGAGGGCCATGTTCCCTGAAAAGCAGGCAAGAGACAAATCAGCCATGTCCCCAGTGGCCTCCCTCTGCCCAAAGCCTTTGGTGGCTGCTGCCTCAGGCCCTCGCTTAGGACCTCTTCCCCTCATGGGCACTTCCCCCTCCCACCGCCTCCAAATCCTCCCCCCTCCAGCACCCCTCAAAGATCCCATCTTCCCCTGTCAGGTTTTGGTGGGGCGGAAGCAGTGTGTCCCACTCAGACCAGGAGCTTCCCAGAAGCAGGGACCTTCCTGGTGGAAGATGGAACAAATCCTCTTGCTTAGAGGAGCTCACGATGGGGACGAGGATGGGGTCCAACCAAGGCCAGCCCATTCCAGGGATCCCTCCTGGACGACCCCCCAGGCCCACCAGGCTACACCCCCAAGAAAGGTCCCAGTTCCATCACTTCCTATTAGAAGACGACATCATTTTCAACGGGGCGCACTGCAAAAGGAGAGTGAGTGACACTGTTTGCTGGGGTGTTGGGAGTGTTGGCCCAACACTCACTCACCCGCCTTCTGCTGGCACAGGGACAGCTGGGTCACCTTCAGCCCATCCGAGGCCCGGAGCTGTTTCATGCACACCCACTGTTGCAGGCACATCCTCAGGGTCCCCACCTGGCGGTCGGCCAGGTGGTGCCGGTATCGGGTCTGTCTTTTCACCAACTGCTGCCAGGCCCCAAAGCACCTGGAAGAGCCAAGAGAAAGTGCAGGTGCTAATCATAAAGACTGCAGCTACAGCCAGCTGCCATGTGCCAGACACGCTTCTTGGGCAAGTCACTTCACCTCTCTGGGCCTCAGCTGTCTCATCCGTAAAATGGGGCTGCTATAAGGACTTGACACCATCACCTCTGGGTGCCTGGATGGCCTCAGTAGCCTCCTACCTGGCCACCCACATCCACTCCATTCGGTTCCTACTTAATAACCGGAGTGACTTTTTTCAAATCTCAAAACAAATGATTTTACTCCCCTGCTATTGTAAAATCCTCCCGTGGCAGCTTGTAGGATAAAATCTCAACTCCTCCCCGAAGTCTACAAGGCCCCCAGTAGACCTTTCCAACTTCATCTCAAGCCATCCCCAGCCCTCCTCCACCCCATACTAACAGGGCTCCAATTTGACTACAGTGGCTGTCACAGGCCTTTGCACATGCTGTTCCCTCTGACTGGCGCGCTCTCGTCTGCTCCCCCTCCATTAGTCAACCATTCACCCTTCACATCTCTGCTGAACCCTGGTTGAGCTCAGCTCCCTTTGTTAAAAGTTCTCATAGAAAACTATGTCAGGGGGACACAACCAGAAAAATGCAGACAGCAGGAAACGCTACTGGACAAGCAATCTCCTTTCAGTGTTAACTCCACTGTCAACAGATAAATTGCAAGGGAAAAAGAAATGCAGGGAAGCCCATCACTTAGAAAGACTCTAACGACTTCTCAATCAACTACATGCGGTCCTTAATCCCGCGGGATTCAAACCAACTACACATACTGAAATACATGGTTATAAAACAGCAGGAAATTTTAAGGCTGACCAGATATCTGCTGGTTATAACGTTCATTTTTTAGGTGTAAGCATAGCATGGTGGTTATGTTGTTTAAAGGAGCCCTTGTCTTTGAGAGATGCTACAGAAATATTTATGGATGAAATGGGATGATGGCTGGATTTGCCTTGAAATCATGTAGAGGGGGAAGCAGCTGGGGTACAGATGAAACAGGTTTTCTAAGGGGGTGATTTTCTTGAAGTTGTGTGATGGGCACATGGGTTTATTAGCCTATTTTCTCTACTTTTGTGTAAGATCAAAATGTCTCATAATAAAAAAGTTAACAAGGAAAAAAACCCCCAAAACTCTTACAGGTCCGTGTTCCTTCCCTTCTCAACACTTAACCCAGGTGGTATTTGCACACATACTTCGTGACTGCTAATTTCCTGTCTGTCCCCACACCTGGCCATGGGTTCCACAACTGTAGGGGGCGGCCAGCACTAAACTCTGCTTATAACTAAACCCCAGCTCTTGAGTGGTGTCTAGCAGGTTTTAGGCTCTCAGTAAATGGCAGCTGTTTTCATTTCTTATTGTCACCTTCGTCTCTCAGTACTAGGAGGAATCAAGAAATGACTTGAAGGGGGCCGGCCGAGTGGCACGTTGGTTAAGAGCTGACTTGCGTCGTCAGAGGGCCCTGGTTTGGATCCCACATAGGAGGGCCAATGACGCTGCCCTCTACAGTTAAGATGCTGAACAACAGCTCAACCTGGAGCTGGGCTGCCATGAGTCGCCAGCGACGGCATAGGCTGCAGCCCTTGCTGCAGTGGGTTACCATGGGCTACCGTGTGTAGCCAGCAGCCAGCATGAGCGGCCCTCAAGCCGCCGTGAGCGGCCATCCAGAAGCCGGCGACTGATCTGCCTCGCCATGGAAGAGTGCAATGATGGTGCCAACTTGGGCCAGTGAAGCAACGTCCTCCACAACTAGACTGAAGAACAAAGAGACAGCAACTTGTCTGTTCCTTCCCCCAATTCCTCAGCACTGTTCCCATCTCCCAATTCCCCAATAAAAATCTTAAAAAAAAAAAAAAGAGCTGGCTTGGGATGCCAGCTCTGAGCAGCAGAGCCCCGGTTCGGAACCCACATGAGGGCCAGTGATGCTGTGCCCTCTACAGCTAAGATGGTGAACAACAGCTCAACCTGGAGCTGGGCTGCCATGAGTCACCCATAACGGCATAGGCTGCAGCCCCCGCTGCAGTTGGGCTGCCATAAGCTACTGTGTGTGGCCGGCAGCCAGCCTGAGCGGCCAGCAGCTGGTGTGAGCTGCCAAGAGCCACTGTGAGCTGCCGTCCAGAGACCGGCGACCAATCTGCCTCAGCCAGGAAGAGCACAATGATATCAACATGGGCCAGTGAAGCGATGTCCTCCACAACTAGACTGAAGAACCAAAGGACAGCAACTTGTCTGTTCCCCTTTCCCGATTCCCCAGCGCTGTTCCCCTCCCCCAATTCCCCAATAAAATCTTAAAAAAAAAAGAAATGACTTGAAGGGCATTTCCCAGCTGCGTCCCACCCACCCTCTGCCTCAGGGAAGCGGGTCCCCACTCCACACCTTTCCACTTCCCGCTACCTGCAGAGCCAGGCTCTCTGGTGCTGGAGATCCAGTGGGGCTACCAAGGCTGCATCTGCAGCAGGAGAGCACCAGGCCTGGGGGGGCCTCCCCATCCTCTGAGTCCTCAACATGGCCCGGGAGGCCTCTCCCTGGATCCCCCTCTCCTGCCTGGCCCATTCCTTCTGATGGCACCACAGGAGGAAGGCTGTAAAAGGAGGGGAGAGAGAGAGAGAGAAGAAAGTGAGAAGAGGGAAGGCTCAGGGCTAGAAGGGGCCACGACGCCAGGCTGTGCCTGAATCTCTGGGCTTCAGTTTCCCTGTCAGTGAGTGATGTGTAAGGGACTTCCAGGTCGAACACTCAAGCTTCTGCTGGGCCTCTACCAGTGTCTCCGGCGTACAAATGCAGGATGCACACCTCTCACACTGTGCGTCCTCGAGCTGGTCACTCAGTTCCCCGTCAGGCACAACGCCTTGCTGAGGTCACCATGAGGCTCAAATGAGATTGTGTCTGGGAAGTTGCTAGAGAAGACGCTCAGTAAACACATTCATTCCCTCAGGACCCCCTGCCCTGGCCCGTGTTGGGGCTCAGCCCTGCCCAGCTCCATCTCCCCAGCTGTCCCAGGGCCCCACATCTCACCAGCCAGTTGTTGCAGGGCCTGTAGGATCTGGATTCCTCTGCCTCCATCTGGTCTCGGCGCAGTGCTTGATGGGATCGGCTGGGCTTTTGCCTCCACCCTCAGACTCCCTGGACTGAGAGTGAAAGTGATGCTCAGGCCACGGGAGAGCACGCGGCCCAACCTGTCCACCCCAGCCCAAGGCAGTGCTGCCTGCCCACCGGAGCAGAGGAGCGCTGAGCACCCCTGTTCTCTTCCAGGCAGTTCATTTTATTCCTGATCACACAAGTGATTTGGGGAGGGGTCTCTGCTTTTGCTTCGTTCTCTTCAATACTATTTGGATGTGTTTACAACAAACATGTTGAAATACTTGTAGATGTTATTTAAATAATGATTTCAAACCCATCTGTTTAATTTAAAGATAAGAGAAACAATACATCGCGGTAGTGGAAATGGACAAAATAAATGAAGAAGAAAATAGCCAATGTTAACTCCACTGTCCAGAGATAAGCACTATTTGCATTTGGGGTGTTTTTTTTTTGGTGGGGGGGGGATAAAATATTTATTAATTTATTTTTATGTCTAATAGTGGGTAAGATACACATAACATAAACTCACCATCTTAACCATTTTTTAAGTGAACAGTTCAGTAGTGTTAAGTCATTCACATTTTGCAGCATTTTAGTATTTTTTTCTTCTGTTCTTTTTTATGCACTGCTTTAGGTGCATAGAAAAAATACCTTAGATATTATTTTTTGATCTTTCTTTTTCATTTAATATTTCCTAACCAGTTTTCCTTGTCATTAAAAATTCTACCCAAATACCCATAAAAATACTTGTAGGAAGGGGGATACACAGGGTGGGGCATGAAATTTCCAACTATATTAGAATGTTTGTTTGTTTGTTTTTAAAGACTTTATTGGGGAATTGGGGAAGGGGAACAGCCAAGTTGTTGTCCTTCAATCTTAGTTGTGGAGGGCGCAGCTAGCTCAGCTCCAAGTCCAGTCGCCATCCAGCCGCCCCTCAGCAGCTTGCGGCCACTCAGCTCAAGGTGCCATGTTCAATCTTAGCTGCGGGTGGGCATAGCCCACCAACCCATGCGGGAGTCGAACCCGGAACCTTGTTGTTAAGCACACGTGCTCTCACCAGCTGAGCCATCCTGCCACCTGTTGGCAGCTCAGCTCGGGTGCAGCTCACTGGCCCATGTGGGAATCGAACAGGCGACCCTATTGCTCAGAACTCGCGCTCTTAAGCAACTGAGCCACTCGGCTGGCCCTGGAATGTTTTTTAAATCAAGCATGACCGTCATGATTAGGAATAAAAATTAAAGATACTGAAATGAAAAATAAGGAAAAAAACAAAGAGTGGGGAGGAATTGTTTAAGTCTTCATAAATATCATGTTGAATGGCTGCCAAATATTCATCATGTGGTTAAACCACAATTTTCTCACTCACTGGGCATTTAAGCTGTTTCAAGGTTTTTACAAGGATAAGTAATGCTGCGGTGGACATCTTTTCGCACACATCTTTGTCTACATCTGCTAGTTTTATCCTCATTCCCTTGTGCGGGAGGGGGCAAGGAGGGAAAGCTACCCGCGTTGCCACAGCTCATTGTTCCTCTGGGGGCCCAGACTACCTGCTCCTCTGGGTGGGGTCCACCGCTGCCTTCCTTCCTGAGGACCCTTGACCCTGACCTCCCCTAGGGGGTGGAGGTCCTGGCCCAGCCTGGATGTGGGGCTGCCCCTGTTTCTGCTGCTGAGTCAGTTTTCTCCACTGGATCAAGAGAGAAAAGGAAGAGGGACGCTGGCTGCAGCCTCGAATGTGCCCTGAGAGGGGGCACCAGGGAGAGGCAGGCACAGGGGTCAAACATTTCTGTCAGACTCCAAAGCCTGTGGGCTTAACCGTTAGACTACCCTGCCTCTTTGGGAATGCACGAATGGATGGAGAGATGGAGCCTGGGAGTCAGGGCTTTCCTTGGGAGACCAAACCCGGAACTGGGTTTTCCCGGAGCGCCCTTTCCTGAGGAAGGAAGGGCCCTCCCAGTCCTGGCCCGCAAACCACTATTGTGAAAAACAGCCCCCATTTATACGGCAGAGTGCTTGCTATGTGCTCGGTATGGTTCTGAGGCTGTTACATTTATTTAACCTCATAACCACCCTGAGAGGTACGTACTATTATTATCCCATTTTAAAGATATAAAATTAAAGCACAGAAGTTAAGTAACCTGCCTGAGGCCACACAGTCAAAAAATAGGGAAAGAAGAAAGCATTTGGGCAGAATGGTGCAGGTGTCTGGGCTGACAGCCACCTGCTCTACTGCTGATCACTTCTCCCCGGGTCACATCAGCGTCTCATCCCCTCCCAGGGCCCAACCTGGAGGCCCCTGACCTTGTGGAAGCTCCGGGCCAGCAGGGCCTGAGTGTGTCGCCCCCATGCCACCTCCAGCTGGGCCTCCCGGAGCCACCGTGTCCACCGCCGTGCCTGCAGGCCCCTGCATAACAGCTGCCTGTGGCTCAGGGCCACCACCGCTGCCGCTGCCCGTTGCCTCCACACCAACTGCCACCAGGCTCTGAAACATCTGGACAGCAGCTGCCGGCTGGGGATGGACCCAGGGAGCAGCTGGAGGCTCAGCACCACCCACCTCGCCTCGGTCCCACATTCTTGTCCCTGGAGGCCCCTCTCCCCCCCAGCAGGGACAGTGTGAAGGAAGTCCCCTCCCCCTTAAATCCTGCGTGGATCTGCCAGCAGGGCCTTGTCTCTATCAGGTCCTCGTGTCCATTGCCCAGGCAAACGGGAGCAGTCCCAGAAGGGGGGCCCCAGGCCCACCCCACAGCCATGGCCTCACCGGGTCACCTTGGACTCCAGGCTCCCAAGGTTTCGGGCTTTGTTCTTAGAAAACAAAAGGACAAGACAGCTCTCAGGTCAAGAAACACACAGGATGAGACACCCCTGCCAAGCCTGCCTGCCCAAGGCCGCCCTTTCTGAGGGAACGGGGTGTGACAGGGTAGTGACAGCCAGCTGGGAGTGTGAATTCCTAGGAGAGGCAGTGGGACCTCCCTGGGAGGCCCCCCAACTCCCACTGCCAGACTCCTCTGGCCTCTACCTGCAGGGCACCTCTGGCTGCGGCTGTGTCTGACAGACAGAAAGGCCTTCTCTCTTCCTCTCTGCTGACCTGCTCCCGAGGGGCCTTCTCCCCTCCTTCCCCCTCAGGAAGGACACCCGGGGGTGCACTGGAGAAGGCGAGGGAGGAGAATCTGGCCTCCCTGCTGCCCGCCCCTAGAGGGAGCCAGGGGTCCCCCCTCTGCCTCCTGCTGTATGTAGGCCCTGAGGAGCTGTTCTCTCCTCGCCTTACAGGGTGGGCAGAAAGGACCCCCTGCTCAGGGTCGAGGAAATCTCCCGTCAGCATCTTCAAAGTGGTCTCCCGTGATGTGGGCTTGCTGTTTGTCTGAGAGTCCAAGAGATCAGCCTGGACCCCTGGTGTGTCTGGGAAATCTTTAGTTCCCCTGAGATCTCCGGGATGTCGCTTCCTCTCATCCCAGGAAGCAAGTTCGAGCTGGCCGGGCTGGGGGTAGGCAGGGACGGCCTGGCCATCACTGGTCCAGGGCTCCTGCTGCAAAGGGCCTGGGGGCTCCTGGGATGCCCAGCACCTGAGGCGGGCTGCCTCCTGTTCCAGGCGTCGCACAGAGGCCAGCAGCTGGGAGATGGCAGCCTGGGATGAGGCCCGAGCTTGGCTCTGGGCAGGGACAGACAGGTCCTCCAGGGTGAGGGGTTCCCCTATGAGCCTGGAGGTCCAGCTCCCCAGGCCACGCCAGGATCTGGGGCCTGGCCGTGTGTGCCTATCAAGAGGGGCATAGCCCGTAGCAGGCCTGAAGTCCCGGCAAGGGGTGTCTGTGGCCTGCAGCCGGGACCGCCTCAGGCTGGAGGATGGGCGGGCCAGTGGCCCTTGGGGTAGGGAGCCTCCCTGAGGCACCACGTGGGGCCAGAAGCTTTCCTGAGGATCTGACCAGAGGTGGGGGCTGGTGCCACTTCCACACTCAGCTGAGCTGGGCTCTCTCGGGCTCAGGTTGCTCTGCTGGATGGCACACTCTCGGGCTCTCCCTTGGGGGAGGACTCCCAGGGGCCGCAGGTTGCTCTGCTGCCGGAAACTTGAGTTCATCAGCCGGCCAGCCGTGTCCTTCAGGCGGGGGCTAGGGCTGGCCAGGTTGGTCTGGACTCGCCAGGGCTCCTGGTGAAGCACTGACCCTGGGGAGGCGGAGGCGGCAGGCCCTCCCCTCTCAGCCTGGCCCATGGGCACCCACCGGCCATGTCCACTACCCAGGCTGACATCCAGGCTCTTCAGGAATCTCCGTTGCTCTAAAGAGAGTAGAGACAATCAATCGCGCCCTGGGAAAGGACCCGGTAGGTGGTCAGCGCTCAGATGGGACAGGTGGGGCTGAGGTGGAACAGGGTCCCAGGCAGGAGCAAGCCCAGACTTCAGGGATGTGTGTCCGCCCTGGAGACTGACGGGCAGTGCCTTGGGGTCTTGAGCAAGAGCAGCGACGTGGTCTGACTCGGTGCCTGGCTGCCTGGCTGCATGGAGCAGGGAAGGGCAGGGCCAAGGAGGCGGGCAGAGGGAAGCAGGGAGACAGGAGGCTGTTGCGGGGTTTCAGGCGAGACGATGGGGCTGGAATCAGGGGTGGCCGGGAGGGTGGAGAGAGGAGACAGGTTTAGATCTGCTATGGAGGTGGAGGCTTAGAAGGAAAGAGAAAGGTCAAGAAATTAGTCCCTGATTTCCAGCTTGAACAAAGAGATAGTAGGGAGGAGGCAGCAGCTGGGCATGAAAGCAACACCCAGCATATCAACAGCTAAAAGTGAGCTGCTGTGGGACCATGGGGCAGGCTTAGAGCCTCTCTCTCCCATACCCGCCCACCCCCCCAGCACCCAAGGCCATTCCACGGGAGATAAGGCCTCCTGCAGGCTGGTGAGATGCCTGGGAGGGCCTGGCAGGTAGAGTGGCCCAAAGTTTGTAGACAGGAACCATAGCTCAGAGAGGTTAAGCAACTGGCCCACAGTCAGTTGCACAGCTAGAGAAACTGTCATGTGAATCGGAACCTGAATTTGTTCTTGGGCTGCTTTCACCCTTGTCTGCACCAGCTCTGTAGCCTTCTTGAAGCCCCAGCCCACCACCCCTGGCACAGACCAACCTTTGGGGGCCCCTTCACAGCCAGGGGCCTCAGTGGGGCCCACTCCTTGTCCCGCCCCCCCCTTCCTGACGTCATTTCCTGACTTCCTGACCCTCCCTTGGGCCCTAGGCTTGGAAGACATTATCCTGGGCCAGGTGGCCCTGTACAGTTAACCTCTAGAATTAGCGAGGCCCTGGGATAGCCTGTTTGGGGAAAGGGCTCTGGGCCAATACCTAGAGGGGACCCTGCTCCCGCCCTCTCCGACCCAGACCCACTCAGCCTCTTGCCTGGCCTCAGGGGGGTCGCAGGCCTGGGGGGCACATTCTCCTTGTGGCTGGTGTCAGGTCTCAGCTCCATGAGTTGCAGGGCAAAGCCAGGGCGGCAGTGTCCTTGGTCCCCACCACGGCCAGCAGCCTGTTTGATCAGACAGGATCTGACGGGGAGGGAAAGGGTGCCTGGGCTCCCACCTGGCCCTAGCCCTGGTCTCCACCCCACCCTTCACCAGCACCCCTGGTTGCCCTCCGCCCGGCCCCAGCTGTCCTGGTGGGAACCCCTTGAGGTCTCCTCTCCCCACTCTTTTCCATTGTCATTTTCTTGTGTTTTCCAGCACCCCTACCTGGCCGGAAGTGAGGTGAGGCTCTCTTTGCTTTCTGTCACCACTTCCTGACCATTCTCCCTCCCACCTCCCTAAAACACTCAGGTTCTAAGCTCCACGCTGGCCATGAAGGAAGTCCAGGTCATGTCCCCTCATTCCTCGAAGATGTCAACGCCCGGCTCACTGTCACTTTCTCCAACACACACCGGTCTCCATTCTTAGTAATTTCACCATCCACACGGATAATCCCTCCAACTCCCGGCCTGTGGGGTCCTTGACCTTCTCCCCTCCCACCATCTTGCTGTTCATGTGCCCTCAGCCACCTGCTCCCACGGTCCCCCAGATTTTGTCATCCTAAGTAACCCCTCCTGAATTTCCATTTCAGAGCCCAGCCCCATCTCTCCAGCCGACTCCCTTGAGAGCTCCAACCCCAACAATCTTTCCCTCCATGAGACCCCACCACCCTTGGTCCCTGGCCCATTGATGCCTCTCTCCCCTCCTGAGGTTTAACCATCCAGGATTATAATCACCCCCTTTGCACACCCTCAGCTCCCTCTTTTTGCCCCATTCACTCAGCAAAATCACAACACTAGTTAAAGAGGCTAAAGAACCCCTTATAGCTGCACTGAGGGCCTCCTTTCAAAGTTACGACCTTCAGTCTCAAGCCAGCCCTCAAGGATGCTGGAGAATCAGACTCTAGTCCGGTCCTCTCCTCGCCGCCTTCCTAGATACTAATTCACACTTTCTCCTCTGTCCTTAAACCTCTGCCCCGTTCTTCCCACAGCCCCTACAGCTGACCTTGTTTCCTTCCGCACTCATGAAACAGAGCCATCAGAAGAGCTATGCCACCAGCTCCCCACCAGCTTCATGCCCATAGCCTCTCCTCCCCCATCCTGTGTGGTCCCCCCAGCCTGACCCTCCCCTAAGCTCTGGGTGCCATCCTGTCCCCCCTGTCCAAGGGCAGCACCCAGGACCACCACAGCCTCTGAGGTGCCATTCTATCAATCAGGAAAAAGACCCACGACACCCAAGCCCCACAGCTGACTCAGCCACACACCAGGGCACAGAGCTTGGGGGCGGGACACAGGCTCCGTGTCAGGGCCCTGTCCCTGCTCCCGAAGTTCCCCAGCCGCCCCAGTCATCCACACATCCTCCTTCTTTACTGAATCATTCCTATCAGGTAGTTATTTTTTTCCATCTTTGAAACAAAAAGCTAAAACACCAAAACCCCCTCTCTCGTGAGCCTCCAGGTCCCAGGCCATTTCTCATCACACCCAAATCCCAATTCCTCTCCCACCGCCACCTCTGCTGACCTCACTGCAGTTGGGCTCCTCCCACCCCGAAACCGCTTTCCTCCAGGTGACCTCCGAGATGCCAGGTCCCTGGCCAGTTCTCAGCACTTGGTTTTCTAGTGGTGGCAACACAACGGTGGTTACTTGTCCCCCTTGGAGTCCTTGCTTCCCTGACTCCAGGACGCCACCTCTCGGCTTCCCTGTCTCCTGCCGGCTGTCTCCTTCCCAGTCTCTGCTGGTTCCTCCTCTTCTCAGCTCTTAGCGAAGGAGGCACCAGGGCTCAACCCTCTGCTCCCTCCCTTCCCTGATGCATGCACCGCAGGTGATCTCAGCTTCAGACAGTTCTAAGGCAGACTGCTATCCTCCACACCCTTCTCTGAGAACGGTGGCTCCAGCCTCCCGGCTGGCTCAGGGGACAATCCTGGAGCCACTCTGGCTCCTTGCTCTCTCAACAGCTAGTCCCATCTGCTCTACCTTCCAAAGATATCCAGACTGACCCTGCTCGCCACCTCCATCCCCACTTCCCTAGATCAAGAGGCCCTCACCTCATTGCCTCCTATCAGGTCTCCCACTTTGCCCTCATTCTCACAGCCTACTCCCCACAGTGGCCAGAGTGATCCTGTGAACGTTTAGATCCTGACTCAAACCAAAAGCCCCAACAGCTCCCCAACCCTCTCAGTCTTCAATGAAGGCCTGCAAGGCCCTACCTCAGGGAGCCTATTATGTAAATAAAGTGATACTGGAACACAGCCTTGTCTATTTGTTTATGGCTTGTCCGTGGCTGCTTTCTCACTACATTACATGGCAGCGGAGTTTCAACCTTATGGTCCCACAAAGCCTAAAACATTTACTCTCTGACTTTTAAGAAAGTTTGCTGGCTCCCAGTTACCTTAGCAACCTCATCCCTACTCCTGTCCCCTTGCTCTCTCTGCTCTAAACACACCAGCCTCCTGGCTGTTCTTCTAAGATGCCCTGCGTGTTCTGACCTCAGGGCCTTTGCACTTGCTTTCCCTCTGCCTACAACTCTCTTTCCTTCTCTCCCTCTCTCCTTTAGCTCCTGCCTCAAACAGCACAGTGAGCCCTTCCCTGACCACCCTCTCTCTGACCAGAGCACCCTCCCCACTCCTTCCTCTACCATGCATGATTTTTCTTCATTACTTACCACCACCTAACAGGCTGAAGAAATTAGTGTTTGCTTTTCTGCCTCCAGTGGACTACGAGCCACTCTCTTTTTTATCCTGCTGCGTTCACAGCACATGGAATAGTGCTTGGCACATAATAGGGGTTCATACTCTGTGTTAAATCAATGAACCATGTAAGCACCATGCAGCCTTTAGGATTTATCTTGTCATTTAATCTGCACTGCAGCCCTAAGAATTTGGTCCTTTGTTTTACAGAAGAGGAAATTGGAGCTTTAGGGGCTACCTGCCCAGCCCAAGGCCCTCCAGCTGGTCTGCAGCTGCAGAGGGACCACCTGGGGCTGACTCCACCGCCATTCTTTCTACCCAGGACCACCCAGTCCCCACTTCTTTCCAAAGGAGACTTGAGGCAGCTTAATCCATTTATCCTTTCCTACCCTCAATTCCCTCCTCTCCCCACCCCCATGCCTGGGCGCGCTGTCCACCTGCACCTCATCCCCCTCACTATCTGCCGACTCCCACGCCACTCCACCCCCATCCCTGTATAATTAAGGACATCGGAGCCTTCCTTCCTCCTCCTCCCACCTAAAGAACTTGCGGTCAGTGATCCCGCCTTTCTGAACCTGCCCTCCCTTGCGTCTGTCTTCCTCGGGTCCTCTTTCACCCCTTTGGGTTTGAACCTGGATGGGACCTCGGGCAGCACAGCCAACGACCCAGGTAGGTGGGGGTTGGGGGCAACGTCAGAGAGCGCCGCCCAGTGTTCGGGAGCTGCCTCGAGGGTGCACGGGGCTCCTGGATGCCCCGAGTCGTGAACGTGGCGGCCCCTGTTTGCGCGCGCGTGGGACCGAGGGCGCGGGAGGAGGACGCCAGCGGGAGTGCGCGGTTCTGCAAGAGGGTTCTGGACCCCTGCGCAGTGCATCGGCTGGCAAAGTACGCAGCCTCGTGCAAACTTCTTGCGCATGCAGGACAGGTAAGACTGGCTGAAATGAATCCACTCTTACCCACTCCTCTCCGCGCTGTGTGCTTGGTCCAGTCCCACTTCCCGTTAGGCATTTTCCACCTGCCGTTCCATGCTCTTCCCCACAGCGTTCTGCCCTGCCCTTTCCTACCTGTGCTCAGATTGTATTCTTTCTCCTTCCTAAAAGAGGAAATAGCGCTGGGCCGGGAGTCAGGAG